AATTTAGACGTTTCGACCTATGGTCAAGGTCCTCCTCAGTACACAATAAATTAATCAAAATTAATCAATATACATAAAAAAAACCAGGAAAAAACGCAACGCAATAAAGTATATATATATATATATATATAACGTAGTAGAAATGTCCTGTCTGAAGTCATCATCATATTCATTAAAGTGTCAGATTTATTGAAATATAATTGAATAAAAATAAGTGTCATAAAAATAAGTTTTTTTGAAAAAATATAAAAATATATATAAAACACTCACATGAATATAAGATATGAATAAGCGTTGTTAAACTTGAATAATCCATTAAATTGATCGATTTACTGTTTACATAAAATATGTAATAATTAGTTAAAGAATTAGATAAGCAAGCAAAAAATAATAATTAAATTAAGCTTACACGAATCAATAATATGAGACAACACACACACAACCTATAAGTTACAGTGTTAACAAGGAATGAACCAAATTGAAGGAGAAACAGAATTCGTGGCGCTGCGACCCAATGACAAGTGAAAATAATAACTGAATTTTTAAAATTAAATACATAAAATAAACTTTATTAAGTGTCGAAGCATTATGTGTCAGTAAATAAATTAATGTATAATGGATCAAGAGATTGAGTATCGTTCTGTAGATTCAATCCTTGTTTTTGTTCCTTTATATGTATCATTTCTGATATCACCCTTTTGTTCCATATTTTTTCTCTGTCCAATATATGTTTAGAATCCCAATCAAACCCATGAGGATATTCGATACGATGATGTGTAATTACGGAATGTAAAAATTTTCCCATCACATGAGAAGTATAGGACCAAAATTCTTCACGCTCTCGCGTTCTCTATATTTATAAAAAAAGAAAAAACTTACATTGCGAATTATTAAATCGAAGAATGCGCTTGAAAAAATTATTTAAAGGAATGCTGGATCGACGGCCGAACTTGATCGAAGTCGATAGTACAGACTTTTTAAAATTTCAAATTCGATAATAGTGACATCTTTCATTCATTTCTTATACTTATTACATATCGTTGTGTCTCGCTCAAATGCATTCATCTGTCCTTATCTAACATATTGCAACGCCATCTCTTAGAAAGAGATCAATTAAAATACTGCTCGGTTTCATGGCTTCACATCAATTTTATTCGTAGCATACGAACGAAATTTTTGGCGACTCTTTTCTCTTATACTAAAGTTCCTAGCTCATTTCTACAAGCATAGTATTGTTCTTCGAGGTTTTCTGTAGGCTGCTGGTTACTTATTTTAAACGGGTAAAATCTGAAACTCTTATATGCAGCACATATTGTGACGAGTTGACTGCAGAAGCCGGTGACAAAACAATAATTTTTAATTTTCTTTCATTTTTCGTATTAAATTGTAGCTGGCAGCCAGTGTTATTGTCAATACTTTAATTGTGGAGAAGGACTTTTCAATCCGTAAGTGCAATTAAGAGAAACGAGTCGAGGAAAATTAATTATACTTTATTGGTAAATTGGTAAAACAGGACACTATTAAATAACGAAACATTCCGCAATTGCAATTTTAAATCAAAGCTATATGTTCTAACATCTGATTCTTTTCTTCGTTCGGCAATATCATACTTCGTATGTATATCAGTAGTATTATACATATACATAATCCTAGACAGCACACAATATTTACAAAATATTTAGAAATATTTATAAGATTTATTTTAAATATTTTGTAAATATTTTTGTGGTTTTAGATTGCACAGATCATAAATATTTATTATAAATATTATGAAATACTTATTAGAATAGTTTTAGTAAATGCTAAATAAAAATACTTAATGAGATATTATAAGCCAAATAAAAAATACTTAATAGAAATATTTATTTATATTTATCATAAATATTGCATAAAATATTTAGTCTATATTTTAATAATATTTCGAATAAAGCTTTATATAAAATATGTATAAAATATCTATGTAACATTTCAAAAAATGAATATTAATAAATATTTATCACATAAATATTCTGTGCTGTCTGGGATATAGATACTTTATTGGTAAAGAAACTTTCGCAGCGAGTTCGCAAAGATATTAATTTTCATTTATCTGTTGCAGCGAGTTGTTTCGTCGGTCAGCAGAACGCGCATTCTCTTCTGGTATTAGTGCTGGCGCCGCAATTCGTCTATCTGTCGTTTGGCGCAACGTTCCTTTTAATCGGTTTGGCAACATTGGCGTTACCGCGGCGGCCGACGGTGACACCGACATCGACGTCGATGTCGACGTCGTCGTCTTCGTCGACGGCGGCGGCGGCAGCGGCAGCGGCAGTTTTTACGGCGCTAACGGCGTCCCACGCGAATCCATTGCGTTCACAGCGTGAAATCTCCGGCGTGAAATCATCCCCAGCAGAAATTCACCGACGACAAAAGCAGCTATTGACTCGCGTCGGCATATTCGGTTGCCTCTACGCCATCCTGATCATTTGCCTCGCCAGCACGACTTTCTATGAATGGTGGGGAAGAGAAACGTGGCTCCGAGCACCGGAACCGTCAACGGCACCTCGCGTACCTGTTCGTCCTCTGTTGCAAGTTTTCATCCTACGATTAGTAGTGACCCTCGGTGCCGGCGTGATGGCTGCCGCGTGGATCTGGTGGCCGGAAGTAACAAACGTTTGCCGTAAACTGCCGCACTGCAAACAACCTCCGCATAAATGCCATCCCGTCCCCCTTGTACACACCTGTTACAACGCTGCCAATCCTATACCTCATCAGATTCACCATCTCGCTCATCTAACGCCGCAGCAGCATCCTCTATTGCATCAGCATGCAACGTTAACCAATTCGCAAATGCCACATAGGAACCATAAGAATAAGAAGCATCGGAAACACCGGAAACACTATCATTCCGGTAGCGAAACGCAAGTTTGAACTTTGAACGAACGTTAACACGTTAGCTGTTTGTTGTTTTGTGCCTTACGTCGCGTCGCGTCGCGTTGCATCCAACTGGATATGACACATTGCACATTAAGCGATATTTCTAAACTGATCTCTTACTTAAGATCAGTTCAAGTCTTGTATTAGGTACTTATTGTTAGTCTTAAAACTCCATCCAGAGTCAGCGACATACAATAACATTTGTAGATATTTGTAATCGAAACGATCTTACAATGTGTGTAAGCTCGAACTGCCAGAATCGGGAATACTGCCCATTAGAAACGAATTACACTACAAAATATGTAATATACTTTTGTATTTGTCTGTCAAATTTTCTCATGTATACACATAAAATGATTTATTTCAAGTTATTTAGCATCTTAATGACACGTCGATTCGATCCTTGTTAATTAACGAATCTCTTTTTTTTTCTTCCCATAATTGTAATAATTAGACTGCGGAACTTTATGCAAAATACTTAACTGAATATTAACTATTGGACAGTTTTAGCAGTCAATCGAACAGTTGTTCGTTAAAGAGTTATTAAAAGGTGAAGTAAAAAGATTGAGATTGCCATCTGTAAATTTACAAAATTGCAAAATATGCATTTTATGCAAAACATTCAGTTAAGTATTTTGCATAAACTTCCGCAGTCTAGTAATCAGGGTTGGATAGTGCCAAGTTAAAAAGCTAAAAGTTAAGTTAAAAAGTTGAAAAGTTAAATAATTTTAACTTAACTTAGTTACATTTTAGACTCTGAACTTTTTAACTTTATTTAGTTACATTTTGTTCTTGTGTCGAAAGGGATAGATTAGTATCCACTTCGTCGTTCCGTATATATATATATAGTTTATTAAGTTATAACACATAAACGATATGTACAGTTGATATGTATGTCGCTTACTAATCAAGAATGTTT